ACTTATCACCCCTCACTGCATTAGATAGACCTGCCCTGTGTCCCAGACCCCTGCACGCTGTCTTCTTTCCAAAGTGCAACTGTCTGATAGCATAAATCACTAATTCTAACTGTTCTAATATGGAGCTGGAATCCCTGGTCTTTTTAAATAATATTCTCTCCTTTGTTGAGAAGTTTTTCCACCATATCCCAGACATAAAAGAAGGTGCGTGTGCTTGCAGTTCAAGGCTAGAAATATTTTTTAGCAGACAGGGGCCCTGTATACAGGCAGACGTTTTGAACATTCCTCCCACTTTTAGCACAAAGAAGCCAGGCTTTGTAGTCCATCCCATCTTAGGTCAATATGAACTGAGACAGTAACTTTTCATTTTTCTACCCAGACTCAGAGAGCTATTGAGAGTAATTAATGGGTAACGTGTATAAGCTCTCAGCTCAGGATAAACTGTCACGTTATCAGAGGTTAATTTTGAATGAGGCCAGTACACTGTAATTTTTTAAAAAATCCTCTCTCCTTCTACTTCATCTCACCCCAATTTTTCTGTCCAAGTAGTACCTGAACAACCCAATGAATTTTCTTCTGCTTCAATGACTAAATATCTAGAAGGGATTTATGTCTCTTCACCACAGTATCCTATCTGTAGAAAAGATGACCCAGCTTCCTTTTTTAATTTCAATATTCGATGCCCTTAAAGAGGCTTTCTCAACACCATCACATAAAACGTTTGCTGCAAAGACTTATTCCTCCAAACCAACACCTCTTCAAAACCCTCAGGCACAAGTCGACCTTTGCACTGGGCTCTAACACCAGGAATCAGAGACTCCATCTTGGAGGGAGGGCCAAGCTGGGTGTCAAACACCCACTCTCGATTCCACCCTCCCTTCCACCAAGCCAAACACAGCTCAGGGTGGTTCAAACCACAAGGCAGTGACACTAATTTAAGAGCCAGAACCTAGGATCTAGAAAACACTTTGAACAGTGGCATATAAGTAAAGAAAAGTAGGTTTATTCTTAATGGATATTTTCCACACTTTTCCCTTTGTCTAATATAGACATGAATATAACAAAGTTTTAAAATACTATGGAAAATTGCATATGGTAAAATATTTTGCTTTGCTGACCTGGCCATTACATAAGTTTAGGACAGAGAAAATTTTAGTATATTGAATTAGAAATCTTGAGACTATCATCTTAAAAAGCTAGAAAAATTCTCAATTATTAAAAAAAAAACTATGTCAATTAATGATTGCCAGTCCACACAAGGAAGAATTATTGAGTTTAAAGTACAGTTACCTATAAAAACTCTTGATTCTTTCTCTCTTGCGTTTTAGCCCACCCCTCCTTACTACAGTTTGACAGCCATGAATGTGCCAATTGCAGTGTGGAGTGGTGGTAATGACTGGTTGGCTGACCCCCAGGACATTGAACCTTTGCTTCCAAAACTGCCTAATCTCATTTACCACAAGGAAATTTCTGTTTACAATCACTTGTACTTTTTGTGGGCAATGAACGCCCCTCAAGAAATTTACAATGAAATTGTTTCCATGATGGCAGAAGATGAAAAGTAGTTCTGGCTTTAAAGAATTATCCATTTATTTTTCCAAAAATACTTCCTTTTCTTACACATGTTTTTCTGTAATATTTTAAATGTTTTTTCCCTATAATTTTGATTTTTGAAGTATACTAGCATCAACAAACTTTTCGTCATTTTTAATTGAAAAGAATTTAAAGAAATCAGATTTTTCACTTGAAAATTTATCTAGAAATAATTGAGAGAACACATTCTTGGGGAGGTGAAACTTCTCTCCCAGTCCTCGTATTCAATTTATCTTCTAAACTCAAGGTAGATAATGAGCCATGAATCAGGCATGTTGGAAAAGACAGTCCTGGGATTGACTGTTGATACTTCTTATGCTTACTTGAGGTTGAGTAAATTGCTTTCTATTGTCTACTGAGCTAAAGCTCAGTCTCTCCATCTGTGCTGTGGGCATACCACTTGCTCTTTTGTTAAACCCCATGAAAAGGTAGATTAGACTGTACACTGAATTGAAGTCAGCTCACTTTCCCTTTCTGGGGAGAAGAGAGCAAGCACAGGTCAGGAAGCAGCAGGCAACCCCAGGTTATGAAGTTGGGAGGTAAAGGGTGGACTCTTCATCTTATTGCTCTTCTGCCCTCATATCCCCGAATAAACACAAAATATGCACCAGCTAACCAAAAGAGTTTTGAAATCACTGCCATCATCCTGGCCACCATGGATCCAGAAACAGTCCCACTGATATTTATGTCACAATGTACAGCCACCACCCCTTGGTGCAAAAAAAAAAAAAAAAAAAAAGGCAGACCCAGAGGGACATCACACATGTATTGGGTCTCTGTCACAGTGAGGAACCCTTAGTCTTATTAAGGCGGCTGCTAACCAACCTGTCCAGTCTCTGCCCCTGAGAGAGACATTTTCTTTATCATACTGGTGAGGAACAAACCTGCCCTCTACCATGGAGAGAGACTTTACCTCTGTCTTCTCAGGCTGTTTGGTCTAGGTACACCCTTGAAAAAAAAACAAAACTGATCTGAGACATGCAGAAATACCTTAGAGAACAGTCTCCCTACTTCCACCTTTAATATAGTACCTGAATCACCTAGAAGTCTTATTCAAACATGAATATTCCTGACATAGTAGATCCAGGGTGAGTCTAAAAATCTTCATTTCCAACAATTTCCCAGGTGACACTGATACTACTGGTCAGGAATTCCTACCTTGATAATAGTTGTAGATGAAAATTCAACTAACTATCAAGTTAAGAAGAAAAAGAGGGATTTATTCAAGCCACACTGAGGGTTATAACCTGGGAAGCAGATTCTCAGAAAGCTCTGAGAACTGTTCCGCCTGTTAGAAGTCAAAGGCACAGTTATACATTTTCGAGACAAAGGATAGTACATCAAAATGACACATTGATGTTTTATTCAAGTTCATCACAAATACTAGTTCAGGTACACACTTACAAAGCCAGCAGCAAGTCAACCATGACTGCCTACAGAGCCAGGAAAGAATGCTATTCTTTTAAGAAGCTACATTGCTAGCATTAGAAGAAAAGCATTGATCTTTAGAGTTGAGCAGATACTCTTAAATGGTATGTTTAAATTTCATTTTGCAGTTATTTGATGCTAGTACATAAACATACAACTTATTTTTGTATATTGACCTATCCTGAAACATTGCAAAATTTTAGGATTATTTCAAGCATCCTGAATGATTTGCTCTTTCTCCAGAGAGGATTTACTTTCACAGATGGCTAGGGTATTAGTATTCCCAAACTATCTTAGTATGTTGAAAATACATATGATTCAAAATAGAGCTATAGTTCCTGAAAGGGTGCTCAATTTCCACTTTGACTTTATTCCTAGGGTAGGGTACAGTTCATTGAGGTTCTAATCCAAAGCCTGAGGATGGAGGTTTACCAAAAACTTCCCATTGGTAGGCTAAATTGAATTTTTATTCTCTATTAGTTTTTTTCAGGCTTTATCATACTTCTGGAATGAGCAGGTGTTGCTAGGATATAAACATCTAAGATGCTAGGCACACTTCTCTGGGTTTCTTTTTCTGGACCCTGTAATTTTTCACTGCATAAAATTTTAGCTGTTGTCTTCAAATAAATGCTTTTTACATATTTCCAGGTCTGAATAACTTAGTCCACCATTACCCAAAACTTCTATTCTTTAAACTTCAACATAAGTAATTCTTCTAGATAATTATCCTAATACATTAGCCTTCTTTAAAGGATCATTTGAAAGCTTTGAAGTAACACATGCTATGTTACCATTCTTGAACTGTTTAAAAAGGTATCTTTAAATATGTATCCATTCTCAGTGTTCTGTTTTAGTACCAAGGGTTACCAAAGAAAGGAAGAACTTATCTTTAACAATGATCTTCAAAGTTATCATTTGCCTTCTCTTAGTTGCATTCACAGTAATGAATGCATGTATTTTATTTTTTCTTACTATTTATACATATTCCATTTATTTTTTATATAAAAAATTTAAAGTTCATAAGCATATGTCAAGTACAATTTAGCAACCTAAAAGCTGAACTTGACTTTCAATCTCCATTTTGTTTGAGGAAAAAATTTAATTTTCTAATTCAGTAAATTACAAATCGATTTTCTCAATCTTCATGTGGTAAATTCACACTCAATTTTAAACTTCCCCTTTTCAATCTTGCTCTCCTCAAGGATTACAAAAGACCAATGAAGTTAGGCATTATTCAGGAATTGGAAAGAAGAGGAGTTTGGCCTCCCCCAAAGCATAAATCCTTGCATGTGATTTTGAAGGCTACAGTATCCCTTCATTCCAAATCTCAAGCTCCTTCGCATCTTCCAGAAATCTGTTGAACATGTCTACACTCTTCTGATGTGTAGGACTCTTCAATCTTTCATTTACTATGCTGCAGTGCCTATTTTGCGAGGTCACCCTCAAGACTGACTGACCTAGAAATGCACTTCAATTGTTATTGCTCTTACACAGTAGGCTGGAAAAGGCAACTGTAGTCTCCCTAAGCTATTCATTCTGGGAAATGAGGATCCCATCCAGTCTCTATGACCTCCCTACTTCTGAAAATGACCTTAGGTGGGGCAGAAGGCAGCAACATTACACTGGCATCCAGGCTCTCTTCCTTCTTTCCTCCTCCAAAGTCCTTTACAAAGCTCAGAAAGTGTTTTTACTATTCATTAAGCATAGAGAAAAATTAGCTTTCATATCAGCAAGTATTCTTCTGAACTCTATTTTTTAGGATGTCATACATGCTCATGCTTCTTTGAAGAAAATAAAAACTTTTCCTCAAAAAGCCATCTCTTGCAATTGAAAATGTTTAAGATTATTTTTTCTGTTTTTAGTTATTTGTATTCTATTTAGAAACTTTACAGACTGCTTTGGCTGAGTTATAATCTTCCATTACCCCTGATATAATAAATGCCACTGATTTAATGAATTGAAAGCCTAGGGGCAATGCAAGAAAGAAAAAAAATCCAGACTTCATTTAAATAGCTGGAAAATATACAAAGTAAGAAAAAAATTGGATTTTAATAGAAATTATATAGATCCTTCAACAAAGAGTACCATGGTTCTTTACAGATTGCCTTGGATAATGTCAATGATTTCATGGTAAACTTGATGATATACATCTAATCCAAACAAAAAATCTATATGATTATAGTAAGAAATAGTTTTATGGTAAATATGGTTTCTGATTTCAGGAAGTAAAATTTTAACATCTTCAGGATCAGCCAACAAGTCACTTTCACCACTCCAAGTTGCAGTTGACACATTCATGTTTGCCACATTGTACAACGGGGAAGTTGTCTAAGTACGAAAAGTAAAAATAAGAGTTTTCACAGGGGATAATACATAGAAGGTGTTATTTACTAATTCTTTAAATGATAAATCAAAATAAAAATTTCAAATAAGCTTAATCTAAAATTATTATTAAGAAAGCAATGAGTATGAGAGAATAGTTATTATAATTTTTACCTAGAAATAAATCAGGTACAAATCAAAATTACAGAGTTTGTTCTGATTCAGAGTATTCAGACATTCCACACAGATCATTTCATTTTTATTTATAAACAATAAAGGTATTTTTTAAAATTTTCTATGGCTATATAACTGTCAATATCTGTATCAATAAATGATAAATATTGGTAGTCAAGGTCAAATTTGATTTTATTGAATTTGATCTTTATATTTCACTTCAGAGTTTTACACAAGCAAACTACACCTGGCATGGAGTTTGGCTAAGGCAGAAAAGTATGACGGAAAAGCATAAATTCTGTAGTAGGTAGACTTGGGTTCCAGTACTTCAAGACTTTTGTCATCATACTCAGACAATTTTTACCACTTCTCATTAACTTCTACTTTTTTCCTAATTATTGTATGTATGTGTCTTATCTTCCCAAGCACAATAGTTTTACGGTCAAGAACTATATTACGCCTTTTATGTCTTATTTAACCAAGCACAGAGCTATGTATATCATAAATAGTAATTTTCCTTTTGAGGGATGATGTATTATTCTATTGCTTGTCATTTTCTCTAGACTTATCCAAGGTATTTGTTGTTAAAATACACAGAACCCATGGAAAAGCCACTTTAGTTGAAAATGAAAATATGGATCCAAATCAACATGATCTTCATCTGCTGATCTTTCTCATTGTGTTACTGTATTCTTGGGCTCTTCAGATTCATCTTTACAGCAAAACAATCTCAACTGACCAGGGAGGTAGTTTTTAGTTTTATACATAATTATGTACCTGATTAAAATGAACCAAGTTCAGAACAGGACTGCCCCAGTCAAAAGCTTTCAAGTGACTAGAATTTAAAAGCTGAAAGAAAAATGGAAGAGTTAAGAATAAACTCATTTGTTCATTACAGTGGCAGCTGATACAAGTTAGGTATTCATTGCACAGAAGACCTCTTGGTACTAAGTCTGTCGATATTTGTGTGGGTGGGCTTCTGTGTTCTTTGCTTCCTTTACATTGGGTAAGAAATGGAAGAGCTAGGAGGTAGGGAGCAGGGGAATTAGCAGACTATAATTCTGCCATCTTCATATAAATGCACATCTCCCCAAAGGCTTTTACCTTATTAAAGGGGGCCTCTGTGTTTAGAGTAACATAAAGTCTCCCCTCAAATCCTCAGCTGCATCTAGACGTCAAAAGTGAGTGTCTAGGACTAAGTGCACTAGGATTAAGATAACACTTCCCTCAACATCCTTGCTTCAAAACACAAGGCTCAAGAGCACATCCCACATGCTGTACACTGATATATACCATAAGCAAGGAACAGTGCAGGGCACACAGTAGGTACCTAATAAATACTGTTCCAGTGTATGAATAAATACGAAGGTTGCTTAGACTTCCCTGGTCTAGCTATTACCAGAAATAAAATAAACCTAAAGATAAGCTATAATAAAATTTTAAATTATTTACCTCAAAACAATTACTTAGCAAACATAAACACTTTAAATGAGTAAGCCCTTAACCAATATACTAATAAAACTTTAAATATATCTAGTATTTACTAACTTTAAAGAACACTCATAATCATCATATTTAATTCTCATAATATTTTTGTTAGGTCAGAGAATTATTATCAATTTTACTTTTAAAATTAAAAAAAACTGAATTCATAAAGATGAAATGATCTGGCTCAATGTCACACTGCCAGTAAGGTTCAGAGAAAAAAATTCAATATCTGGTATTTCCATCTCAAGCATAGTGTTCTCTCTGTGATATTATCCTGGCTCTCAATATTAAGATGATATTCACACTGGATTTTTTTTTCTTCATCAATATTTACTCAACAAATATTCCTGAGTATCTACTAAATGCCAAGAACTCTTAGCCTTGCAAACAGAAAAGTGGACAAAACTTGCTCATGGTAATCATGGAGTTCCCAATTTAACACAGGAGAAAATGTAGTCTAGTAAAAGAGTAGGCACTGAGAGACTTGTGCTCTAGTCTTAGTTATCTGTAAAGAATTAGTTTTAAATATTTGGGCAAGTCAAACGATGGGCATGGCCTAAATGACCTCTAGTCTACTGTTCTGAATTAACATTTTCTTATTTGTAAAACAGAAAGTAATTATATTGCTCTGATAATTGCTTACATTTAGAGGATCTAATAAGTTATAATATTAACACATACTATAAACTTTAAAGAATTATACAAATATGTAATAACTTCATTTTACCCTTTTAAATTTATTATTCTATGGCAATGGCATGAAACCTAGAATGATGAGATAAACTGTGAGTAGTATGAATAAAATTTTATCAAGTACATTTTAAAATTTATACCTGACTCCAGTGGAGCATATTTTGAACAGATGTTCCTGCTGGGTTCTGTGACATATAGACATCCATACGGCTCTGAGAGGTTAAAAATTATTTTTATCCTTAGTCCAAGAACAGAAAACAATCTTTGATATTTAGTAAACTAAATAATTTCAAGGAAATTTAATTTCTAATAAATAACATTAATAAAACAAAATCATATTTAAATTAAGTACATAAATGTACTTTATTAAATGTATAATTTTTACATTAATGGGGAAGCTATTACTGGCTTTCTAAGTTATGTGGTCCATTACTCTATACTGAAAACAATCAGAAGTGATATAACACACACACATACACTCACTCAAACACACACACTTTTTGAAAGCACTAAAGAACTGAGAAGATAGAAAGAAATTAACAGGACAAATGGAAGAAAAAACCCCAAAGAACTGCAAGAGAAAAGCGAAATACTGGAGCCACTTTTTTCTTAAGTTTATTTGCCAATCTCAGAAGATTTGAAATTTCATTTTAAGAACTTAGCTAGCTAAGGAAAGCAAATAATCAGTCCAGGGCTTGCCAAGGGCAGTTAAGAAATTTAAAAAGAAACTCTTTCCATGATAAACTGGAGTCTCAAAGTTCTACACAACTCAAAGTGAAGTTGAATCAGAAATATAGCAGTGCTCATGTCAATCTGTAATCTAGGTTTGCATTGCCTGCATACTCTCTGAGAACCTCAGTAAACAAGACATACAATGTCAATTAATAATGTCGATGTAATCCCCACCCAAATCTCAGCACATTATTTTAAGGGTATTGACAAACTGCTTTCAAAGCTTGTATGGAGAGGCAAAAGACCCCAAACAGCCAACACAATGTTGAAGGGGAAGAACAAAATTGGAGGACTGATTTGACACAAACTAAAGACTTACTATAAAGCTACAGCAATCAAGACTGTGTGGTATTAGTGAAAGAATAGACAAATGGATCAATAGACCAGAAAAGAAAGCCCAGAAATGGACCTCTATAAATATAGTCAACTGATCTTCGACAAAGGAGCAATGGCAGTGAAACAGAAAAATTATAGTCTCTTCAACAAATAATATTGAAAAAACTGGACATCCACATGCAGAAATAATAATAATAATCTAGACACAGACCTTATAACTTTCACAAAAGTTATCTCAAAATGGATTACAGGCCTAAATGTGAAATACAAAACTATAAAATTTCTAAAAAATAGCATTGGAAAAAACCTAAATGACCATGGGTGTGGCAATGAATTTTTAGATACAACACCAAAGGCACAACCCATGAAAGAAATAATTGATAAGCTGGACTTCATTAAAATTAATAATTGAAAATAAAAAATAAAACATATAAATTAAAAACATTAAATTAAAAACTGCTACTCTGTAAAACAGAGTAGTATCAAGAGACTTAGCAGATAGGCCTCACACTGGGAGAAAATATTTGCAGAAGACACATCTGATAAAGGATTGTTATCCAAAATACACAAGAAATTTTCAAACTCAATAATAAGAAAACAAACAATCAGATTTAAAAATGAGCCAAAGACATTAACAGGCACCTCACCTAAGAAGATAAAAAGATGGCAAATAAGCATATGAAAAGGTGTCCCACATCATATGTCAACAGGGAAATGCAATGTAAAACAATGATGAGATACCACTGCATACTTGCTGAAATGACAAAAATCCAATTCATCTGTTGATGGACACTTGGTTGCTTCCATATCTTAGCAATTGTAAATAATGCTGCTATGAACATTGGGGTGCAAATATCTTTTCAAATTAGAGTTTCCATTTTCTTTGCATATGTACCCAGGAGTGGAATTTCTGGGTCAAATGGTAGTTCTATTTTTAGTTTTTTGAGAAACCTCCATATTGTTTTCCACAGTGGCTGTGCCAATTTACCATCCCACAACAATGCATGAGTGTTCCCTTTTCTCCACATCCTCGCCAACATGTGTTATTTGTGTTCTTTTGGTTAATAGTCATTCTACAGGTGTGAGGTGATAACTCATTGTGGTTTTGATTTGCATTTTCCTGATGATTAGCAATGTTGAGCATCTTTTCACGTGCCCATTGGCCATCTGCATTTCCTCTTTGGAAAAATGTCTATTCAGTTCTTCTGCCCATTTTTTAATTGAGTTTTTTTTTAATGTTGAGTTATATAAGCTTACATATGTTGGAAATTAACTCCTTATCAGCCATATCATTTCTACAAATTCAATGCACTCCTTATCAAAATACCAATGACATTTCTCAGAGAACTAGAACAAATAATTTTAAAATTTGTACAGAAACACAAAAGACCCCAAATAGTCAAAATAATCCTGAGAAAGAAGAACAGAGCTAGAAGGATCACATTTCCTCACTTCAGACTATACTACAAAGGTACAGTAATCAAAACAGTATGGTACTAGCACAAAAACAGACACATAGATCAATGGAACAGAATAGAGCACAGCAATAAACTCATGCACTTACAGTCAACTAACAAGTAACAAAGGAGGCAAGAATATACAATGGAGAAAAGACAGTATCTTTAGTGAGTTGTGCTGAGAAAACTAGACAACTACATGTAAAAGAATGAAATTAGAACATTCTCTAACATCATACACAAAAATAAACTCAAAATAGATTAAAGACCTAAATGTAAGATGAAATACCATAAAACTCCTAGAGGAAAGCATAGACAGAACACTCTTTGACATAAATCATAGCAATATTTTTTTAGATCCGGCTTCTAAAACAAAGGAAATAAAAGCAAAAATAAACAAATGGGACCTAATTAAGCTTAAAGCTTTTTGCGCAGCAAAGGAAATCACAGACAAAATGAAAAGACAATCTACTGAATGGGAGAAAATATTTTCAATAATTACTTTAAATATCAATGGACTACATGCTTGGGTCAAAAGACAGACTGGCTGATTGGATAAAATCCACCTGTTTTGCTGGTATATAGGAAAGTAACTGATTTTTATATATTAACCTTGTATCCTGCAACCTTGCCATAATTGCCTACTAGCTCCAGGAATATTTTATTTTTTATTCTTCGAGATATTCTACATAGATGATCATGTCATCTGAGAACAAAGACAATTTTATATCTTCCTTCCTCATCTGTATTCTTTTTTATTTCCATGTCTTGCCTTGTTACATTAGCAAGGACTATCTTTATGATATTGAAAAGGAGTGGTGAGAGGGAACATCCTGACCTTGTACCTGTTCTTATTGGTAAAGCTTCAAGTTTCTCACCATTAATTATGATGTTAACTGTAGTTTTATTGTAGATATTCTTTATCAAGTTCAGGAAGTTTCTCTCTATTCCTAGTTTACTGAGACTTTTTATCATGAATGTGTGTTGGGTTTTGTCAAATGCTTCTTCTACCTGTATGGATAAAATCACATGATTTTTCTTTTTAAGCCTGTTGATGTGACAGATTACATTAATTTACTTTTGAATGTTCACCTAGCCTTGCATAACTGGGATTTCCCCCGTATATTTTTCAAAATAAACTTTCTAGTTGTTTTTGCTCAGAGGACAGTTTAAGACTCTGTTACGCACTCATGCCCAGAAGTAAAATTCTCATAATGTATTTGTAATTGTTATGTCACCTCTTTTAAGGTTTTTGCCATCTGGCTACCTGGGGGCTTAAGAGAAAATATCTTTTTTTTTCCCTTTGCAATTCACAGTACTTGGAACTGGTAAAAGTAAAGTTCTGACACAATAGTTTAAAATGAACTTTATAAAATTTTTTAACAGAAACATTCTACAATTTAAACTTCTAGGTATTCATAGGATCTTAATTCTTCCTTGGGCTTGAAATAAGCTTCAAATATAATGTTTATCCTGAATGGCATATTCCAGATGTTCCTTCCATTAGAGGTCACCACTATTTATCCTAATGTGAGTCAGGAGCATACTCAACCCAAAACACTTAGCCCTACTCATTTTTCTGAATGAAGAAGTTTACCTGCTTTCATAAATATCTATGAGTAATCTCAGATGTTTACCAGAGTCTCTACTTCAACTTTATCAGAGGTAGTAAGGAGGAATTCATTCCCTAAGGGGACTCAAATCATAACCACATACCCTTGATAACTGTACTCCAATATCTCAGGCTTATTTCTCCTTATAAGGGTTAGAATGAATTTTTGTAAACCATCACAGAATTACTAGAAGCAGACAAAGTCAAAATTTTGGGTTGTTTGATGATATGTTTTCCAAGTTATACTGGTGAGAGTTTTTGCTACCTGTTCCTTCTTGCAGGATAGCTTCCTTTCAGTTTTCTTACTTGATTTTCTATGCCTGAGTGACATTGGCCTGATTCTATGTACTGCCTGTTTGCAAACTGCAAGATTCTCTTTCAGTTTTTCATACTTCAGGAAAGAAATTCCAAGTCAGACCCTATCTTCCCCAAAGATCTTGATAGGCTCGAGAAGACTGAACTGAACTGAACTGTACTATCACTCTTACCGTTCCCACACATATGGTGAGTGAAATTTTTCCACTTCAGACTATCCCCAATTCTAGAGAAGTTAGTACACAACCATATTACAACCTATAACACTGTCAACTTTTGTTCCAGAATGGAGACCCACAAATTTAAGGGCTAAGAAACCAGAATAGAAGCTTTCCTAATAGTTTATAAAAAAAGAGTTCACAAAGACACTATAATCACAGAAAATACAGCAACAGCCAAATACACTACCCCAAACATAGAATAAATGAATATGGTAAAATTATATTTATGATTCTTCCAGTCATTCCATGGTACCTTTATGACACTAGATGGACAGAAGAACATGAAAAGTCTTTTTTTTTTTACCTTTTATGGCAGAAAGTACACTGCTCATATCTTGACGGGAAAAGGGGAGAGGACTGGGTTCATTTCTTCTGCTATGAAGTATTTCTTTCAAATTTATGTAACTGTCTATGTTATATAGATAAAGCCCTCTGAGACTGGGGTAAGATCTTCTTGAGGTTGAATAAAATCAACATATCCTTGTGGTGTGAAAACGCGTTTGGGAATTAAGAGAACACCTCTTTTTCTTTGAATGAATAAATTAGTTCTCATTGAGAACTTTCTTAAAAGGTCCAGGTATAAGAACCAACCAACTAGTCCAAATGCCACAATTGCTTCCGCCAAATCTTAATGTGCTGAAAAAAATCTTAGAATGAATGCCTACATCTTTAAGAGTATCTGTACACAATCAATACAAATGGCCTTGGCAATGGTAACTGGAGCACCAAAACAGCTTTACACTCCAGTATTCTGATGAATGCCAGAAGCATGTAAGATAACTGGCAGGTACCAATTCTAATTATGGAAGGATCAACAAGTAAGGAAAGGAGTGTTAGGAACCAGGAAATAAGAGGAGGAGTTACAGAAAACAAGTGAATAAAAGACGACTCAAATACATGAATCCTCAGGAAGCTAACAAACAACAGCAGAGACTAATAAAGATACGTATCACTGTAGTGGCTCTCTGTTCCTTACAGAGATCAAGACAAATATGAAACCCAAATAATCCCAGCAGGCTAATACAAGTTAGTTTCACAATGTTGGTATAGTCACAAAATCAGAAAGGCTAAGAATCTACCTATAAATATAAATGGATAAATCATAAAATGATATACAAGGCATAAAATAAGCACTATTAAGAGCTGCTTTCTAAAAATTGACAAAATATATCTCAAATGCAACTTGTTCTCACCATATTTAAGTTCTTCTGGTCATATCCAGATATCATAAATAAGATATCATGACAAATTTTACCAAAAATCTTTAGTGGACACAGCTGAGAGCCAACAAATCTTTTAAATGAGGTATTAGGTAGGAAGTCTTTGTTGCCAGAAAAAGCCTGTAAAATAAATTCACTGTATTCATATTTGGAAAACTAAAATTATTAATCCAAAACTGATGTGGTATGTTCACTATATTTACAACCAAATGCATTATCTCACAGTTTAAAACATTTAAATTGAGGGACAGAACTTGGGACCAGGATGTAGACATAGTTCGATTAATGGATTTTCTATTACAATGAGATGTCCAAAGGTATCATGAGTAAAATTCTATCCCTCTGTAGAAACGAGGCAAGAATCCAGTGCAGATGAAATCAAAAACTTCAATTCGTACACGTGCCTGTACAAAACACAGCCAAGAGCTTTCATTGTTGAAAGCACAGAATTATTATCATTTTGGGTTATCAACCACAAAAAGGAAAGGGATAACATACCTTGATCACCGACTTCCAATTGTATGCCATTTTAATCAAAGGGCTTTTTGAGTATTTAATGGAAAAAACTGGCGCGAAGGCAAAAAAGATTTTGATTCTTCCAGCTATTATCGGTATTGTGGAAAATGTTATGAAGGCTGAAAGAAAATAAAATATAAATGAACTATTATTAAGCAATTACGAGCATGTAAGAAATGACATCATGGTGAATAAGAGTAAGCCCTGAACAATTAATTTACATATTCATTTCTTAATTCATTTATCAAACATTAACTCATCACCCAATTTGAGACAAGCATATTGATCACAACATAATGCTGATTATTAGGACCAAAAACAAATGCGTAGATCATAAATGAGGATAATTCAGCAATAAATTCGTCTAATAACACCACAGTATAAAAATCAGAAACAATATTATACATTTGTATAACTGGCAATGGTGAAAATGAGGTAAGCGAATTTTTCAGTTAGATGAATCTTACATTTTAGGTCAGAAATTCAGTAAATGTCGAATTGTTTTCATACTTACTTTTAATAAGAATTTTCCTTATCTTCTTGTAAAGTGGATACTAAACACTACTTTATTGATAATTCAGAGTCATTATTATGACAAATAGTAGTTTTTTTCTTTTTCACAACCTATCAAACTATCTACCTGCACACCTTCTCTATTTTTACTGGTTCTTTTTTGTCCTGGGTTCTGAGAAATCAAAGAAGTAAAGAATTGTATATCATACTATAAGTCAATTAGCTCTGGCATAGCACCCATTTTTTTTCTTATTTAATTATTTTCTAGGACTCCTGGTTCCAGATAACTGAACAGCTGATGATAATTTGGACTAAAAGTCATAATAAACATCAGAGAAAAAGATCTATGAGAAATGGGATGAGACTGTTATTCAACACATTTTCTCTGGTATAAAGTAGACTATTCCTATAAGAAAATGATACTCTTCAGCCTAGAAAAGACTCATTTAATACTGGTTCCTATTATAAAACGGACTTTTCTACTTCCAAAATAGAAAGATTAAGAGTGAACAGGTTTACAATACCATTGAAGAGAATTATGTTAGGTCTCAGGGTTTTTTTTTTTTCCTGAATGTGAAGTTGTTATGATGCATTAGAACAGAAGCATTAGTACTGTGAGGTAATGAAAGTTCTTTTCCTGTCGTCTTTAAATAGAGAAAGGTTTTCTTCATATTTGTGCATTTCTTAAGTTTAATCTTCTCTAAATGCAAAAACATAAATATCCTTTTAAAGTTTTTCACTCATAGAGCCCTATGATTCATTTTTAAAATAAAAATAATTATGAAATTTCTATTTGTGGAATAAGTGACAGTAATGACCTCACTGTGAACTTACGATGAATATCCAACTTTTACATAATTGGAAACAAACAAAACCTTGTTTTTACAGTCAATTCTTTGTGGCTAGAGAAAACTATGTAGAATTAAAGCAAGATGTAAGCTTCCAGGGCACTGCTATGCGATTTTTGTCTCACAGTGCTTTGTTTCACTTACAGGTCTGGAAGCTTACCTACATCCTTAAGAAGGAAAAATTGTAAAGAGTAATTAAGTAATAGTAGAGGTGATCTTTCTAGCCATACCAATGGTAGTGCCTTGTGAATGGCCGACATAAAATATTTCCTCTTGTTGCGTTTGCTTCACAATGAAATCAATGGAGGCTGGAAGGTCATATTTAGCCATCTCATCAAAACTGTAAGAGAAAAAGGAAAATAAGTTCAGACATAGAAAACAAACTTGTGGTTGCAGGGTCGGGGAAAGGGGAGGGAAGGGATAAATTGGGAGTTCAAGAACTGCAGACTAACCACTATATATAAAATAGATAAACAACAAGTTTATATGATATAGATAGGGAACTATATTTAATATCTTGTAGTGACCTATATTGATAAGGAATATGAAAATGAATATATGTATGTATATGTATGACTGAACTACTATGCTGTACACCAGAAATTGATTGATACAACACTGTAAACTGGCTATACTTCAATGAAAAAAAAAAGAAAAAGGAAAATAAAAATGCACTTTCTACTCATGCTATATTAACATTTGAAGATAATGAATAGGTAAATATTAAAAACATTTTTCAATTCACTTTGTGTATTATCAATAAGTTATGTAGTATAATGTGGCTACTGAATAGAGACTTGTGTGAGAAGACAAAGTCAAGAAAATAAAGTAGCCACGACCCAGTGTTATAAAGAGGGTGTTTGTATATTTTAAATACAGTGAAGCAGACTAAGCATATAGGTTACAGAGTGAAAGAACAGTTAAAGGAAGGGTGGGGCAGTCAATAAAAGTTACCACTGAAAAGTGAGAAACAAGCTCAAAATCAAAGAAGCACTCTTTAATTTCCAAGGCAAAATTTATGTATATATATTTTGATGATCTACTGAAAGCCCTGAGTTGAGAAAAAAGACATATATTACTTTATTTCATTCAAAAAGAAAAAAAGTGTTCAATACACTTATAAAATGAAACATTACTTGATTTTCTTTGTACCTGAAAGCCCAGAATTCTTTGGAATTTGTTTCTAGGTACAAGTGTTTCCTGGACCAGGTAGTCCCTCTGCTGTTCCCCATCCACACATCATAACCGGCATCTGCCAGAAGGAAGCCTAGGCTACTGTTAGGAAGATTGGAAATCCAGCTGCTGGCAGATGTGAGCAAACCATGTTGCAAGTATACAACAAGCCTCTGAGCTGGAAAAAAAATGCAGAAAATTTAGTTTTAAATGTTGTGGTGTCTACATGAGTACCTCACCTCAAAGTCAATCTCCTAAGACATGACAATTTGAAGATTTTTTAAACCGCATAAACAGGGCAAATTATAACATTTAATCCCATTATATATGAGAATTGTTTAACACAGTTCACTAATGAATTTCTTTCAAATGACCAAAAAGGCAATTCGGTCATGTTATACTTAAATATAGAAATTTTTAAGGATATAGAATATTCAAATATCTAATAGTAATCTGGGCACTCATATACATTTTAAATAATGTATTACATAAAATATATTTCCTATGATTTTCATTTCATAAAATAATTTTACAATCACATTTTTCACAGGTGTATTCAACATAGGTGTCATCTTTAGAACCACTGTTTTAATCACCAGAGTTCCCAGAGCCCTAATTTATACTTTCAGGCTTTTGAGAAGCAACACCTTTTGAATAACATAGGATGTGCTCACTAGTAACTTGATTTTAAGTCCTAAATTGCCGTTGACACACAATCCACATCATTATTATCTACTGTAGTGATGCTGTTGTTGTCCTGTATACATCCCACTAATTAGGCTGATGCTCCTGTTCTCCAGCTGTTGTGTTGGCTGCCGACTGTACACAGCTGCTCTTTCTCTGGGGATGCACTCTTGGCATTATTGGCTAAATGGGAGCTCCCACATTGGGGATGGAAGGGGACAACCTACACTTTGACCAACTGACACAAGGTACAGAAGGATGACTCCCATGCTTCAAGGTCAGACCAACTCTGATGTATTTCATGTTCTCTATCTATCCAAGGGGGCCCGGCTGAAGCTGGATTCCAGTTGAGACCACATCTTCGCTTAACTCCTTCTTCTGCTCTCTTCTGTTTCCTCTGTCACCTTTTCCCCCGAGATTCCCTCAATAAACCACGTGCACTCAAATCCCTGTCACAGACTCTCCTTCTGGGGAACTTGGCCTGAGCTACTACCAAAAGTGATCAAGGAAGCAGACATTTAAAGATGAGATTATGGAGTTGGACTACTTGCTGGTTTGCTGGCAATGAGGATCACATCATTGATTGTAGGTGGAGTACTGAAAGAACCTTGAATGTTGTGGTACTCCAATGGCTAAAATATTCACATATGATACAGGAAAGGGATGACTGCCTTATACAGTATCTCTGACAAAGAAGTACAGCAAAAATATTATAATGAGGTATGGGGAGTTGGGTAGCTATTGCTGCGTGTCAACGATAATCTGAAGAGAGAAAAATTATAGGCTCAGAGCAATCAATCACCAATTCAAAGTAAAGAGTGAATGAAAGTGGTAAGACCTCCTTGGCATCACATAAAACCCTCATCTTCTATAGCCAGAAGGCTAACTGAGGTGAAAATCTTGGTCAGGACCTAATTGTAAGAACAACAGAACTTCAGGAGGGTTGAATTTTCAGCCATGGGAAGAACCCATACTATATTTCAGGGTCTTGATAGGGAAGTAGGACTTTAGGACCTGAGATGAAAATATTTGGGTAGAAGAGCTTCAGAAACTTGAGTCTCAGATTTCCCTGAACTCAGTGGGGCTACAGAAGTGACCCACTCCTCTTTGTTAGAGGATAATGTTCCCCTGACTTAGATGCCTTTCAGAACAAAGATTCCCCTTCCTCAAGATCCACATCAATCTCCTCCTGGGTACAGAATCAGTAACTATGATTGAGTTCCAATATGGCTTGACTGAAAAAGTACTGCACCTGCTGAAGGAAAGGAGAAATTATACACAAAAGAGCTACAAAATCTAGCTAATAGTTATGTAACAGCAGGAACTGAGAGAGAATGCTTGGGTGTTGGATCAAAGCAGGAAATTATATATATATATTCCTGGGTAACGGGGAGTTTATTCATATGAAAGTGCACTCCTATGACAGGATTTAACACACTGGCACAATGGTTCCAGAGGTCAGTCAGTCCTGACATTCTGCTGAGATTTCCTCGAAGCTTAGAAAATTCCAGAATTGCAACAGCAGATTATGCAAGAAAGAAAAAAAAAGGGCTTAGATGAAGATATACTAAATCTATTAAATAAGACCAGAACACTCACCATCTGATTAATGTGTCTTGGGAGAGCCTGGAGGAAATTCCATTTATCAACTTGCAAAAAGACTCTGGTGAGGACACCAGCAGGATTTGAAATCTTAGAAGTGAAGAGCTTACGCTTCCATTTTGGAAGAAGTATCATTCCTACTTTTAAAATGAATTACGTTCAAATTCATAACTTTAAGAAAACTTACCAGAAAGCTGATATCACAGAGCAAAAATCTGGTCCCAAATCTGAGGAAAGACAGGTGCTTTCAGGGAGACAGAAGACATAAGAACCCCCTTATGGGAGAGACACAATCAGAATAGTTCAGGTTGAATAAGTGAAGATAGTGAAGACCAAGTATAGTGTCCAAGGTCAGCATGAAGCCTCTGGATGCAGTATAAATTGAGAACATCCATACTCTTCTGAAAGTTCTTTGCAATGAACCCTACATGAACCTCAAATAAAATATTGGAGTCTTATGTAAGAGTCCACTGTGGTGCAGACTTGTGAAAGGGAACGAGAGCTATGCAAGAGGGTATGAAACTCTCCTCCAACCCTTTCTCCTATCTGCCCTCTAGAACAATATTCAATCTGTGTGCAGGGGAGGTGGATGGGATAGGATGGGATAGTGTACTACAGAGAGTACATTAACTAACCAAGGGCATAGGATAACTCAACAAATAGATGTCAGCCAGACACTGTTTTTAGCTGCCCCAGTGCTGTGCAATGAGCTCATAAAATAAGCAGTCATAATGGTAAAGATGTAGGTGACACACTGGCCCATCATTATGGGCCCCCTCATGAAGGCAGATCTAGCTACTATCAAGGCAGTATGTCTGGCCTGCCAGCAAAAGAGACCTCCCATGGTACCATCCCTCAAGGAAACCAAACCAGTCACTTGGAAAGAAGCCGGGTGTACCAGACCCTTTCTCTCCTGGAAAAGGCAAGAATTTATTATGGCTAGGACTGCTACACATTTCTGCTATGATTTGTCTTTTCTTCCACGTAGGACCCCTTCATAACATTACTTTGAATCAAGGGATCCACTTCCGGTCAAAGAAGGTCCATTCAAACCACTGATCCTACCCCATAACTACCATCAAGCCAGCTTGAAAGAACAATGAAACAATACCTTAAGGGCTCAGTGGAGATGCCAGTTGGGAGATGATATTCTGTAAGTATGGGTGCTATCCTTCACGATTCAATACACATCTTAAAGAAATGGCCATAATATGTTGCTGATTCCCCTAACTAGTAGAATACATAAGTATGAGAAAAAAGGGATGGGATTAGAGGTGGTCCCACTCACTGCCACTCCTAGTGGCACTTACTTAGGGATTCACACATTTTGTCCTCACAGTTTTAAGCTCTGTAGATCTAGAGGCACTTGTTCCCAGAGGAAAACACTTCCACTGTGGCACCAGGAAACATCGTAATAAACTTAAAGCTCTATCTGCTACGTGGTTACTTTGGGCTCCTCATGATAGAAGACGGGGAGGCAAAGAAAGGAATTACTATACTGGCCCTGAGATCAGGAGTATTGGCTTTGATTAACATGGGGAGGAAGGGCTATTGATACATAATGACAACAGGGAAAAATATATTTTGTATCCAGGTAATATACAAGGGCATCTTTCGGTACTTCCATGCTTTCTTATAACTGTAAATGTACAAGTATGACAACTATGACCTGTTATGGACATAGTAGTCCTTACGGATAAAGGCCTGGCTTACCATATTAGGGAAGATAGCTGAGAGGAAGGGGAATCTACAGTGGATGGTAGAGGTGGGAATTTATGAGTACTAGATACAGCATTAGGATCAGATATAATAGCAGACATCCTAATTTGTTCCCCCTAACCTTCATCTTGTAAGTTTTCCTACAAATCCTGATCTACTAGAATCCTTGAAAAGCTGTACCTGGATGAAATAAACTTAATGTGAAAAACAAGTGGGGTTTGAGTAGTGTAAGGGGTACACTCTATTTGATTATTTTGGCGCCCCACCTGGATTTCCTTTATTAAGCAGCTGAATTATTGTTCCTAGCTTTTGTGACTTGCTTTTCAAGGGTTCACTATTGTCCCTTTCTCTGTGGAACTGCCTCCAGACAAATGGGAATTGCCTCAGCCAGGAGATTATACTTCCTTCTATGGGTAGCCTTCAGCAGTGACTAACTGATATGGGAATACAAAAACGCTAGCTCCTTATCTTCAAATGGGACCACTTCTGTAGCGCAATTCATATATCCATGAACTCCTCTGAGGTCACATTTTAGCTACACTTTCTTAGTTGAGACACATCCTTCTTTAGCTCCTTCCTCTGCCTTCCCGTGATTTCCACATTATTTTCTCATGGAAGTATTTCAATCAATAAATCACATGCACATAAATCTCTGTCTCAGGCCCCGCTTCTAGAGAACTCAAAAGCACTTACTATATTTTAAAATTATCTTTAGATCTTTTATTACAGTATTTGAAAAATTAGGTCATACCCTGAGGAATGATTACTATAATTATGTCAAATCTATGTTAACATTTTCTGCTCAGTAGATGTGACCTCTATAAGGATCCAAAATTGACTGAGATTGTACCAAATTAATGTCTTCTCTGAAATGTACTTTAATGTTCAAAATGAGGACTTGATAGGGTGTCCTAAAATATGAGAAACATTCTTTTCAGGGAGAAAATCTAAGGAGAAAGAAAAAGAAAAACCTGAATTTTATTTGAACAATTAGATGAATAAGCAAAAGTAATTTGTTACATACTCTGCTAGTAAGTGTCATATCTAGAATTCTAACCCTAGTGACAAATTCTAGTGCATTTTTTTGCACCTCATTCTGCTGATAGTAGTGTATCTATTGTTAGAATAAAGAGCCATGAGGCTGCTACCAAATGATCTCTTTCCTATTGCTAGAGGAGAGAGCCGTAAAGACAAAGGGAATTTTTACCAGCCCTGCTTCAAACCTACAGAACAATGTTACTATGTTTCAGAGCATTTTTCACCCCTCATTAAACAAAGAAAATTCTAGAAAATCAACACGTATGAGTAAAGTGATCCACAAAGAAAACTTGGAAGAAGCAATCTGTGTTCCACCATACTTTAAAATCCCTCTGTGAACAGGAAGCTAGTGTAGATTGGGACTCTTCATGAGGCATGTAGAGAGACGTATGAGAAGTTAACTGTTCACTTAAACTTCAAATCCTTTTCTTGTCCTAAACTCACTGAGAAGACATAAAAAAGTTGAGGACTTCAAACCCCAGATATTCACCAATTTATCTTGAACTGAATATTACCTGAACTGTTATCACTGTTTGTCTTTCCATAAGGAATTCTATAAAGGCCAAGGATATAACCATCTTCAGTTGTAATGTCATACTCTTCATCTGGGTAGCCCCAGTAGGAAATGATTTGGCTCTAGGTAAAGAAAGAGCAAGCCTTTACAAATAAAATTGTTGGTCAATTAATGTAACCTGATCAATCTAACCTAATTATGTAATAATGAACCTTCATATTCTCTCTCAGCCTCATGCCTGTATATTTTTATTTTCATTAATTCACTGATTACTTCAGTAATAAACATTTATGGAACATCTACTAATTATCAGTCTTATATACTAGGGATTCATAGGTAAAACAAACAAACAAAATCCCTGCCCTCTAGGACGTATCTCTAAAACCAACCCATTAATTTTTTTTTCTAACTACTAATCACTCATACTTTTACCTACTCACCCACCTACAATTTAAAAATATATATGTTTATCCATAAATGTTTGCATGTCTATGCATATAGCTAAGCTTATATCTGAAATTTGTTATATATGTGCACGTATAGAAGACAGAAATATATCCATGCAGGTAGATATATATCTATATCTATATCTATATCTATATCTATATCTATATCTATATCTATATCTATATATATTTCCATTACAGGGACAGAATAAAGCTGAAAGGGAAACCTTGGGCTTATAGAAGAGTAGATGGGGAATATCAGTTGGCCCATATCAAAATATGACTGCAGATACATAAATTTGACTGTAGATTTGTTAAAATATAAACCCTCAAAATTGAAGAGTAGCATTCCTGTTATTTTAGCAGCTTAGCATGTGTTTCTTAGAAACTTACAATATTCATATTTTCTTCAGGGTTCATAGATCTTCGATTTCGATAGGCACCATGAGTGGTTCCAAAAATTAGGATGAAAGACAACATCTTGAAAAGATACCACATTTGGGATCTAAAAATAAAAGGGAATGTTAATACTATTAAAACTGCAGCAATTAATGCTACTTGACTGTTTAAATAATTCTGTGAGGTAGGAAATACTACCATTCCAGATGTCAAAATAAAGGCTCTGAAAAATTAAATAACTTGTCTAAGGATACACTATGTATAACTGGCAGTCAGGATTCAGATTCAGGCCAGCTTCATTCCAAAATCCAAAACTGGATTCTAGTTACCAGGGATACTGTATTGAACATGACAATGTTTCTTACCTCTTGATGCTTACATTCTAATAAAATAAAAACACTAAATAAATAATATATAGTTAAACAAGTAAAAAAGCAAGGTAACTTCTAAAGGTGATTAAGCGATATGAAGAAAATAAAACAGTTTAATGGAAAAGAGAGTCACTGAGTGGCTGTTTAGGTCAAGTGGTTAGGGAAGGCCTCTTTTAGGTAACTTTTAAGCTGGACTTGAATGATCAGAAGAAGTCAGTCTTGCAGAGATCAGGAACAGAAAAGAAGTCAAGGGTAAAGTTCAAGGTGACCAGGAAGAGTAAATATAAGTACATCTGTCCCAGGTATTTTAAAATTCTACTTTCTCTATGTCATCTAGTCGTTCCCACCTCTCCCCAAAAGATACACTAGTGCCAGTAAGGAACCATGGACTCACATCATCAAAAGATAAGAAAATCATCAAATCACAAGGGAAGAAACTTGAAGAACAAAAAAAAGATCTGAAAAGAACTATAACAATAACCAGAAAACAAGTAACAAAATGGCAATAAGAATATACCTATCACTTTAAATGTCAATGGACTAAATGCTACAATCAAAAAACACTGGGCAGCTGACTGAATGAAAAGTAAGACCCATCTACATATTGCTTACAAGAGGTTCACTTCAAAGCTAAAGACATACACAGACTGAAAGTGAGGGGATATAAAAAGATATTTCATGCAAATGAAAATGACAAGAAAGCAAGGGTAGCAATATTTATATCAGACAAAATAATCTCTAAAACAAAGAAGGACATTATATAATGATAAAGGGATCAATATGTGAAGAACAAACAATACTTATTATCATATATGCACCTGAAGGAGGAGCACATAATATTTAAATTAAGCAAACAGCAGCAGATAGAAAGTGAGATACTGACAATAATACAATAATAGTAGAGAATTTTAACACCCTACTTACATCAATGGACCAATCATCTAGACAGAAAATCAGTAAGGCAATAGTGCACTTAAATGACACAACTGACCAGAGGGACTTAACTGATATTTAGAGGACATTACATCACTAGCAGAGTACACATTCTTTTCAAGTGGACATGGAAGGTCCTCCAGGATAGACCCCATGGTAGGTCACAAAACAAGCCTCAACAAATTTAAGAGGATAGAAATGATATAAAGCACTTTTTCTAACCAAAATGGTATGAAACTAGAAATTAATTACAGGAAAAATAAATGGAAAAACACAAATACATGGAGATTAAATAACATGCTATTGAAAATAACAATGGGTCAAATAAAAAGTGAAAGAGGGAATCAGAAAATACTTTAAGACAAATAAAAAATGGAAGCACAACTTTCCAAAATCTGTGGGATACAGCAAAAGCAGTTCTAAGAGGGAAGTTCATACCCATACAGACCTACCTCGAGAAAGAAGAAAAATCTCAAACAAACAAGATTAACCTACCATCTAAGGAACTCAAAAAAGAAGAACAAATAGAGCCCAGAGACAGGAGAAGGAAGGAAATAATAAAGATTGGAGAGGAAGTAAATAAAACACAGACAAAAGGAAAAAAAGGTAGAAAAGATCAATGAAACAGAGCTATTTAAAAAAAAAAGATACAGAAATTTGACAAACCTTTAATTGGGCTCATCAAGGAAAAAAAGAGAGAGGACCCAAATAAATAAAATAAGAAATTAAAGTGGAGAAATAACTGATATCACAGAAGTTAAAAAAATCACAAGAGAATATCATGACCAGTTATTTGCCAACAAATTGCACAACCTAGAAGAAATGGAGAAATTTCTAGAAACATAAATCTTCCAAGACTAAATTAGAAAGAAATAGACAATCTGAACAGACAGATCACTAGAAGTGAAATTGAGTTAGTAACAAAAGAACTCCCAGCAAACAAAAGTCCAGGACCGGACAGCTTCAAAGGGGAATTCTACCAAATATATAAGCAAGAGCTAATACCTAACCTTTCAAATCTGTTCGCCAAAACTGAAGAGAATGGAACACTCCCGATTTCATTCTATGAGGCCACCATTACCCTGATACCAAAACCAAAGACACTACAAAAAAGAGAACATTACAGGCCAATATCTCTGATAAATATGGATGCAAAAATCCTCAACAAAATATTAGCAAGTGGAATTCAACAATATATGAAAAGTACCATATACCATGATCAAGTGGGATTTATTTCATATATGCAAGAATGGTTCAAGATCTGCAAATCAGTTAATGTGATACACCACAATAACAAAAAGATAAAATTTACGTGATCATCTCAGTAGACCTAGAAAAAAGCATTTGACAAAATTCAACATCCATTCATGATAAAAACTCTTATCAAAGTTGGTAAAGAGGTCATTTATATCACACCCAGCTAACATCACATTAACACTAAAAAGCTAAAAGATTTTCCTCTAAAGTCAGGAACAAAACAAGGATGTTCACTCTTACCACTTAAAAATACATAGCATTGGAAATCCTAGCCACAGCAATCATATAAGAAATATAAATAAAAAACATCCAATTTGGAAGGGAAAAGGCAAAAATGACACTATCTGCAGATGACATGATATTCTATCTAGGGAACCCTAACACCTTCATCAAAAAACTATTAAAACTAATAAATGAATTCAGCAAAATTGCAGGATACAAGATTACTGTGAAGACATCTGCTTTCCTATAACTTAATAATAAACTATCAGAAAGAGAAAGCAAGAAAACAATGCCATTTAAAATCTATCAAAAAGAATAAAATTTCTAGGAACAAACTTAATCAAGGAGTTGAAAGATCTATACTCTGAAAACAAGAAAACATGGATAAAGGACACTGAAGATGATACAAAGAAATGGACAGCCTGTGTTCATGGACTGGAAAAAATAATATTGTTAAAATGGCCATAGTGTCTAAAACAATCTATAGATTTAATGCATTCTCTATCAAAATATCCAGATCATTTCTCACTGAACTAGAACAAATAGTCCTAAAATTTATATGGAACCACAAAAGACCCAAAATTGCCAAAGCTATCTTGACAAAAAAGAACAAAGCTGGAGGTTTCATGTTCCCTGACTTCAGACTATACTACAAAGCCACAGTAATCAAAACACCTGGTACTGGAACAAAAACAGACACACAGATCAATGGAACTAAATAGATAGCCAAGAAATAAATCCACACACTTATGATGAATTAATCTATGACAAAAGAAGTAAGAATATACAATGGAGAAAAGACAGTCTCTTCAGTATGTGGTGCTTAGAAAGTTGGACAGCTACTAAGAATGAGATTACATTTGCCCACACTATATACAAAAATAAACTCAAAATGGATTAAAGATCTAAATGTAAGACCTGAAACCATAAAACTTCTAGAAGGCACAGGCAGACCACTCTTTGACATAAATCATAACAATATTTTTTGGATCTGTCTCCCAGGCAAAAGAAATATATGCAAAAACAAACAAATGGTATCTAATTAAACTTATAAGCTTTTGCACAGCAGAGGAAATGATCATCAAAATGAAAGACAACGTACTGAATGGAAGAAAATATTTGCAAATGACATGATCAATAAGGGGTTACCATTCAAAGTATATAAACAGTTCATGCAACTTAACATCAAAAAAAATTTTTTTTTAAATAGCCTGAATAGACCTAAACAGACATTTCTTCAAAGAAGACATACAAATGGCCAACAGGCACATGGAAAGATGCTCAACACTGTTAGTCATCAGAGAAATGCAAATCGAAACCACAGTGAGATATCACCTCACACCTGTCAGAATGGTATCACCAAAAAGTCTAACAAATAACAAGTGCTGGTGAGGATGTGGAGAAAAGGGAACAGTTGTGCACTGTTGGTGGGAATGTAAATTGATGTTGCCACTATAGAAAACATTATGGAGGATTCTTAAAAAACTAAAAACAGAACTACCTGTAACTGATCCTGCAATTCCACTCTTGGGTTATTTATCTGAAGAAAACAAAAACACTAATTCGAAAAGATATGTGCATCCCAATGTTCAAAGCAGCTTTATTTATAATAGTCAAGATATGGAAGCAACCTAAGTGTCCATCAATGGATGAATGAATAAAAAAGAAGTTGTATATATATGTATGCATATATACACACAATGAAATATTACTCAGTCATAGCAAAGGTGAAATTTTGCCATTTATAACTATATGGATGGACCTAGAGGATATTATGCTTAGTGAATTAAGTGAGACAGAGAAAGACAAATACTCTTTCCAATTAAATGTGGAATCTAAAAAATATACTAATGAATGTAACAAAAGAGAAAGAGGCTCACCAATACAGGGAACAAACAGTGATTACTAGTGGGGAGGGGTAATATGTCATAGAGTATTAAGATACAAACTACTATGAACAAAATAAATAAGGAACAAGATTATACTGCACAGCACAGGGAAATATAGCCCATATTTTGGAATACCTTTAAATGGAATATAATCTGTAAAAATACTGAATCACTATGTTGTACACCTGAAACTAATATTGTAAGTCAACTGTACTTCAATGAAAAATAATCATTTCCCTAAGATTTTATATAAATGTTACTTTCATTTTTCAGATATGTTCCAAAAATTTGTTGTTTGTATTTTGTCTTGCATATTTTGAACGCAATTTGTAAATGATTATGTATTCAATATTTTTCTGTTCAATTCCATTTTTATGTTCAGTTCAGATTTATTTTTATGCTTAGAAATGTCTTATTAGGCTATATATGTCCATCTGTATCTTCTTCTAGTTCCATTATCCTTTATCAGATACATAGTATTAACCTATCACGAGTGTGATGCATGGTAATTTCTTCATGATGTGTATATAAAGTTAAACCCCTAATTTTTAATAATTGGCTACTATTGTCAAATTTCTCATCGTTCTGAGAGATATTCAGTTACTCTAGCTTTCCAGGTAATAATTTTTCTACTATTCAGATTAACTTATTTTTTGATTTTTTAATAGTTCAAATTTATCCTTGCTTTTCACTTTTTTTTTTCATTTAGAACTTCCACGACGATGTTGGGGGGGGTGGGGAACTAGTGGTAATGGCATGAGCCCTTGTGTTGCTCATCTTAATGTCCCTTTGAGCATGTGAAATGTGTTTTGACATAAAACAACACTTACTGAAGCGAGGAGTGATCTAAAATTTTCCGGTGAACCAGCTACCTCTAATTTTCAACAGTTTGGACAGTAAACACTGTCCCCATTTCACAGGTGGAGAAACTGAAATTCAAAAAAGTTACATATTACAGAGCCTGAGAGCTAGTTTAAGAATAATCTCTCCAAATTCTTTTTTCTATTACATGAATAGTGGCCATTATGGCAGTGGAGAAGGAAGCTGGCTCTGGGATCGCTGGTCTGTTTCTTCCCTTCCCCAGTTTTCAGACTTCAACTACTAAGATAGCGAAAGTCCCAACAAGGACAAGGGATAGTTATTCTAGTAGTTACCTTCGGCTGGGTCTCCGCTGTAGACACCAGCCCTGCGGCGAGGTGGGTTCTCACACTGTAACCTTCACCATCTCCAGGTTTTTGTGGGCGAGGGGCAGGCTGGAATTTACAGCTCATCTGACTGCACCAGCCTGTCTTGGATGGAAGCCAGCTCCCTCCCGGCCCTCAACCCTAGGGAAAGCCAAGGTTTGG